CAGAGTGGCCAACGAGTGAATCTTTCAAGGGTACTCAATGATATATTTATTCGTTCAGCCAATATTGTAATGTGGGGGACATTTCTCTTCCAAATCAGTCGGACAATAAGGTAATCAGAAAGCCCTCAAAAATTGGAGGCGCATTTTGATAAGACACATGAAAGGAACGACGAGCAACAAATTAGTGGTTTTTGAAAATCATTAATGCTTGCCGTACTGATGAAACCCATGTAAGTAAAAGCACTTTTTCTTGGCTCAAATTGACTCATCACTCCCGCCGTTAAACATGACTAAAAGTTCTTTTCACTCCTTCTTCAACCATTTTAAGCGCCAATGACGACACGTAATTCCCATTCATGAAGGACAAACTACCCTTCACAATGTGGTGCATCTGCACCTTTGAATAATTTACTACGAGGAACAAATCCACTGTTCCAGCCATTTATTAGAAGTGTGCCCTGCTACCGCATGCAGCACTTTCTCCAAATGCCAAACAGAGACTTGTACAGGAAGATAGATTCTGAGGCTTTGCAATCGAATCAAACTCAATCTGTAAATCAACCAACCTGAAGTCACATTCACTAGGTTTAACAGAGACTCAATGTTATGATATGATATGGAGAGCAAAACAGACAGAGAACAACGTACCAGTAAATCTTATAGTAATTTGTAGTGTAGGAGTATCAACAGGCTACCAGCTGTACCAAAAAACTCAGTAAATTTTCGGCTATTGAATATTCTCTCATATTTGTTCCAGAATGTTTCGATGATTGTGCAAATCAAAGTGGAAATAATGAAAGCATCTTTGATCCCCTTTCTTCGAAACTTCGGTCACTTTCAGCGGCCAAATAAGACCATGTGAAAAGAAGGTAGAAGACACTAGCAGGCTGGTTAAGCATATCCTCTGACGAGACTGTCTTATACACGCAGGTCTATGAGTATTCACTGCGATTTCTTGCGTAAGGCCACAAATAAAACATTTATTATGGTCCGAAAACTCGACAAACGTTTGTGCAAACCCTATTTTGTAACACAAATAGCCACATTCCCACCAAAAATATTCTCCATTTTGCAACAATTGCAACAATTCGGTTACTTGCCTTGCTGAGATCGTTAATCACTCCCCTACTTGTCATTTTGAGGACCATGGGTGGACTCGAAACGACACCCACTGTCATTTAAGGGAGGACGGATGCTAAGTGACGCGAGACGTCATTGTTAATACCAAAGAGCGTGCGTTATACGCTATTTTTTTAATGCCTACAAAAGCTTTGCAAAAGTGCTGAATCAACCTTTAGCACCCAGTACAATTCCATCTGCATGAGATAGTAATGGGAGCTTGGTTGCCACTAATTACCTGTAATTAGTAGTATCGTAGGAGATTGATCAATAAGTCATCAGTCGCTTTGACCAACGAATACATTGCTGAGGTACAGACAGAACTGTATGCTACCAAAAACAGGGGACACTCAAGTCAAACAAGCATTTTTGGTTTTCTCGGCTAGAAAAGTTATGCCATCACAGTGGTAGCACACGCGTCAGCAGATGACAGTTGGGTGTGCAGGCCAGACACCCTTAACCAAGAGGGCGGGCAAAGGTGGTAGTAAGTGCGTGCACGCAACATCGTATAACAAGTGCTAGATTACGAAATCATCAAACGCAAACCATTATATATCCACCCATATGGAAGACCTTAGGCGCGATACGGTGATGGGACGCTCGGCTGGTAAGCACTGAGACATTTAAGTGATTTGCGTGCAGTCGTTTCAAAGACGACCTGCCGTACGTTGGTTATAGGCAATCCCGACAATGGTGCTCAGTCTACGGATAAGCAGTCATTCCTGTCAGCATTCAATCAGCACGTGGGACTCCTGATCATTGTACAACCTGATATACACCGAAATCGTGCAGGAGACAGCACAGACATTCAGCAATGATTGTAATTTTGAATTGGGTACCCTTACAAACTGGTGTTCATGTGAGATTTGATCCTGTAGAGGTCCCAATTAGGGGAACCGAAAGACATGGATTGCAATACGGACAACTAGAAGAACAGCGCGTTCTAGAATAGTCGAGAATTGACCACGAAAGAAGGAATCTTCAAGACGATTAAAACGGCAACACTTTCTGGGGTTGCAAACTTCCCCACCAATATTAGCAACGCTAGGATGACCTGGACTGATTCAGACGCAACGGTAAATCCCTTAATTACAAAACTTAATGGTTATTAATCAAACAGAGGGATGAGTGCCCAAATTTTGGAGAAAAATGCGATTTCTACTTCCTGTAGTATATTCTTTGCTTATAAGTAGTTTAAACCTCAAAGTGTCTGATTTCACTTGCAAGTGAAATGGGTGGTTACGTCAATGCATATCACCGTTAAACTACTGAATTGAAACTTTTATCGACTGTAAAAATGAGTGACTTTCGGTAAAAAGGCAAGAATAAAGGACGCACTTTCGTTGGGGAATGGCCCAATGAAGGGAGCGAATGGAGCGGTGATGCAATCGACGATGACCAAACGAAGCTTTGAATAGAAGTTAACCTCCTCAGCACTCATCTGCTTACAGTCAGGAGATGTCTCCTGTAACGCAGCGGATGCCACCCATAAACGCGTCTCCACCAGCCCATCCATCAAACCCTGAACCCCAGGGACTAGGCGGTGCCAAATGCGGGAGAGGCAGTGATTGGTGGAGTGTTCGAGATCACTCTAAAGGGTAAAAAAAGAAGCGACGCAACTCCACTTTCCCTTTATTACAAGGTACGCTAGTAATTTGGAAAAGAAGCCTTATGATAAAGGCACAAGGCATCCAGAATGAAAATAAAGATAATCTTTCTTCAATGTTGCTGATGGCAGTAATTCCAAGACTACATTTTGACAAGTGCTGCCAACTACTTCCCCCCAAAAACAAAAAATTTATTTTTGGTTCTGTAGCCACTTTAGACCGGCTCAAGTATATCAAATAACCAAAAAACGATTCACTCGTTAGCCACTCTA